CTGCAGTCATCTTCGGTTCCTTCACAGACATAGCACTTGAGGCTGTAAGCTGAAATGTAAGATAATGTCAATGTATTGCAATGCATTGCTCGACTATTTTTCGATATAAATTTGAAAGTTTTTCATACCTGTGGACAAACCCATTGGAAGTTTTGGACTTTTGATACTCCAAAGCTTTCAAACTCATTTTAGTCTAGTAAAAAATTCTTGGTTTAGCAGGTTTTACAATTAAGTGAAAATTAAACATGGGTGGAATTAGATTTGCGCAAAGGTATTAGTGGTATTCCGTGCATTTCAATCTGTGTATGGCTGCGTCCATGAGCGTCCAAAGCTGAATAGGAAAACGTCGTTATGTATTTAAATATATAAATAAACGTGATTTATGTGTTAGAGTCGGTATAAGATAACTTTTTCTCATGTATTTTTTGAGAGCAGTGGAATACAATAACAGCTCTATACATAATTCCAGTTAATTCATGATATTGCTAGCTATGCAAGTGTTCCCTCGCTACAGCCATTTTTATTGTGGCTTTATTACAAACGTGACATCACACTAAGGACTTGTAATATTCAAGCGACGACGTATTCTTTATGTTGAAGGGAAAGAATCGATTTGTGCAAAGTTGTCTTATGTTACAATTTCAAACAACAAACATATGAAATACATATATATATGAAATACATATATTACTGCGAAGGATCGTGCACATATACATTACAATTTCCCCGTGTTCAAACCGAAGAAGATTAAGAAGTATCGATGAATGCGTTTTGGGTGTGATCACGGTTCTGTTCGAACTCTTTCATGACTAGAGGTAGCAAACCGGAAAAACGAGCAATTGTTTCTTCTCAAAAGCAATATCAAAGAATAAATAATATCTGGAAGGTTTCTTTGATATTGAGCGATTGTCAGAAGCCGATTACCTTCAGTTGTATCCGTCATTTGTTTCCCATGCTGCATGAATAAGGAAAATTTTAATTGTAGCATTCAAGCGTGATTTGACCAAACAACAAATCCAGGCTGCGGTAGAGAAGAAGTACCTAGGCTTAGCAAGATTCTCACAAAGATTACTTCTCACTTGATGATAGCTGATAGCTGGCGTTGAAACATCTCAGCATTGTCAGGGATTGAATTAAGGTCACAGAAATCGAAAAACCAAAACCGGAATAAACTCCACAAATTGAAATTACAAGCAAACAGGGAGGTTGGCAACTTAGCCACATGATAGAAAAATAAGCACAGACGATAAACAGCTCAATCAAAGAGTTAACTTGTGTTTTAGCAGTCTTCATCCTTTCCAATTAGTGAAGCAAAACAAGCCAATGAGCCGAGCGGACGACACGAGTGGGTATGTGGCATCATTCAGTTCAGTTTCACCTTAACGAGGCCACCCTAAACACACTCTTATGGACAACGTAAATCGATCTGACGCCTTTCTTTCCATGCTTAGGTGACTATTAACTATGAACAAGTTTTTTGAATGTTGCAAGCCCGCTTAAACGAGCTCATAGCTTGAAACGAGCTTGAAAG